GCAACCTTAACTCCTCAGCAAAATACATTTGGTTCCGGTTCCAAATCTCCCCCTAAACAAGGAATATTTGGTTCTAATTCCAAATACAATTCACCAATAGATACGTTTGGCTCATCATCGAAGTCATCAAATCATGGATTTAAATCAATTTTTGGTACAAGTACCGAAGGTGACAATGATGATGATGATGACAAAAATGATAATGATAAAGAAAGCGATTATGGAGGAGAATCCTTTGGGTCAGGTGCAAGACCAACTTTACAAGAACAGGAAGGTAACTTTATATTTCAATCAAAAAATGTTATTTATATTAAATTATTCATTACATTAACACAGTTATTTTATCAGTAATCACTGGCGAGGAGGATGAAGTAACTAGATATACCATTAGAGCTAAATTATATTGTATGGATAAGTCGCTTCAATGGAGAGAACGTGGAGTTGGAACATTGAAACTTAATTTTCCTAGAGATAATAAAAAATCTCCGCGGATAGGTTCGATTATTCGATTTTTGAATTTACAATTTTACTACTATTTTCTCTTATAAGTCTATTCACTAATTATATTTATGGTCTAGTAATGCGTACTGATGGTGTACTAAGAGTTATTTTGAATATCGCGTTATTTCATGGAATGAGTGTAGAACGAGCACAAGAAAGTTTTGTGCGAGTTGTTGCATTTGAAGGAAATGATCATATTCCCGTTAAACTTGCAATCAAGGTTCGCTATAAATTTATTCATAAACTTATATTAAATTTCCGACTAATTTTTCATATAACTATAGGTAGCGAGTCCTGGTGCAGCCGATGAATTATATGGCGCAATCATGAGCGCTATACCACAGCCTCAACAACAGTCACAAATCAGAATCAATGCTGTGGCTTCTCGAGCTTGAGGTGTGTATTTTTTAAGTTAATCACCAAAAATCGAGTAAGTCCTTATTGAGCTTTTGATTCATTGCTTTGGTAAAATATTTTGTAACGAAAGGATCATTTCAATATATTAATTACATTATCAAAGATTTTAGTTTCGATTTATTTTATTTTTAAACCTTGTATGATATTTTTGATTTTTTTAATTTTTCTTTTTTTAAAAAAAAATTATCTATTTTTGACATAAACTTAGATTTTATACAAAGGTTGGTTAAAACGGGATTATATTGATGTACTGAGTAAAGAGATTATTTTGTAAATTTTTTTCTTTTGTATTTTATTTTATATTATTCCTTTGCTCTATTTTTTAACTCGATATTCATTTTCTTATTTTATATATTCAGTTTAGCAGAACAGTATACATTATTATTAGCATAATATTGAAATTAAAACATATCCTATATTATTTCTAATTGTAAATCTTACTATTTGAAACGAATTTGATAATTGACTGATCATGAGTTGT